AGACAAGCACCTGCCACACAACACCCCAGACTTAACAACTGTTGATAAGAAAGACAAAAAAGTCTGCATAGTGGTCATTGGAGTACTTGGAGACAGAAGAATAGAAGAGAAAGAACTGGAGAAAATCACAAAATACAAAGACCTGCATATAGAAGTAGAATGACTATGGCAAAAGAAAGCAAAGATAGTACCAATAGTAACAGGCACCTTGGATGCAATCCCAAAACACCTGGAGCACCACTTGAAGACCATTGACATTGACAAAATCACCATCAGTCAATTGCAAAAGGCATCCTGCAATGATACCTTTAACACCATCAAACAATAACATCTGCCTATCCCAGGTCCTTGGGAAGAACTCGATAGGTAGATAAAATGCCAAATCCAGTCTAAACATCTGGCTGACTATGCGATCAACAATAATTTCCTTCTCAAGGTCAGAGCTAAATTCCTCAATACCACCTCCCCGACAGAATCACTCCTGGGCCAGACAAGTCATAAGAAAATTACTCCCCCCTCCCATCCACCAGGTGTACTCAGCAGTTTGCCCAATTCTACTGATAAGCCTGGTGGAAGATCCCACCCCCCCCTCCCTCCTTGTTCATGGCAACTGTAACTGGCGGATCAACTGAGGCAGGAGTCACCATTTCTTCTTCATCCTGAGTCTCACTGTCTATTGTTAGTGGCACTAGCTGTCGGGGATGGGATTTGTATGGAAACTGCACACTAACATACAAGGTCTGGTGGATGGACATTGGTCACCATCTCCCAAGACTGCTCTGATGAAGGGTAGCCCTTCCAGGGAATCAGATATTCTAAGCATCCCTTCCTGCATCTAAAATCCAGAACAATACCAAAAGTATTTCAAAAAAAGAAGTCTCTGCATAGAAACTATACTTTAAAAATTAAGGACATTTTGAATTTTAACTTAAGTCAATTTGTATGTTGGATATGTATTTCTGGCTTTTTGTGTTTTGTTATATGTTAATTCTGAAAGAATCATATCATTAAACAATAGCAATTAAAATTGTCTAAAATACTTTAAACATTATAGCACTGCAAGCAGGGTACCTTCTTGTTCCTGTGAATGTTAGCAGCCATCTATTGAAGGCTACACTGAATTTCATAAATCTATTATAAATATACAATAAATAATGTACTTTCCAATTGTATGAGTTGGCATTATTCTTATTGCAGCATTATTTTTACAGTTGAACTATAAAGCAGATCAAATCACTTGTGGCTGTATTTCATTTTCCCACAAATATGAATACATGAACTTTCAGAGAATTCATGTAGGAGTGAATTTTAATAAGATCTATAAACCTGAGAAAGACAGCCTTGCATCTGAATGTTTCCATTAAGGAGTGTTGCCAAATGATGCCCAGTTCAGCATATTAGGGATGTACACTATTTGAAAATAATTCAGAAATCCTTTGGACCTCACACAAGCACAGCACTTCTCTGCTATTCATTAAAAAACACACTTTTTTGTTCAGGCTTCTGCACAATCCTGAAAATAGATGCTGCTGCTTTAAGGAGTTGAATCATAGTCTGACTCTTAAACTAGCCATAACTTGCTTAGAAGCCTGAAAAAAGATGGATTGCTTTGATGACTAGCAGAGAGGTGCTGTGTTCACATCCATGTGAGGTCTGAAGCACTTATTTCATCATTTCCAATTAGGTTGATAGGGCCTCAGCAGGTAGTAGCACTTGGCTAAATTGTTTGGACTTGGAAGCTAAGCAGAATTGTTCCTACTTAGTGCTGGGATGGAAGTCTACCAGAAAACATAACTACTATAAGCTCCATTACCCAAAAAAATGGATAGATGTGTCCATGAAGTCATCAGGAATCAAGCTTGATTCAAGGGAACAATCTTTTTTAAAAAAAATTGCAGATCAGTTTGTACCTTTAAAAAAATCACAAAGCATGGATAAATCTTTCTTTATTCTGAGTACTGTGTCCAGTTTGAGTGCTATCTTTTAACAAGGAGGAAAGAAACAAAGATATGTTCAGGGGAAGACAAAGGAAATGATCACCAATAAAGAAAATCAGTCCTATGAACAAAGGTGGCAGGAGCTAGATATGTTTGGCCTGGAGTAAGGAAAGTTGGGGCTCAATTCAGGCTTATGGAAGCAATGAGAATGGGTTACTTAAGAAGCATGTATGGTAAAACGAGAAAGGGTCAAGAATGATTGGGTATTGAATGAATATGGACTAAGTACAAATGTATGGAAAGAAGTAATTAGATAGTATAGAGCAGTGTTTCTCAACCTTGGCAGCTTGAAGATGTGTGGACTTCAATTCCCAGAATTCCCTAGCCAGCCATGCTGGCTGGGGAATTCTGGGAGTTGAAGTCTACACATCCTCAAGTTGCCAAAGTTGAGAAACACTGGCATAGAGAGTATGAATGAGGATCAAATTGCAAAACAAATATATGAAGGAAGAGTGAATGGGGTCAAGGGAAAGGGAAGTACTGAGAAAGCTGTATAGATGGAGTTGAAAGCTGTGGATGGATGGAATTCTCAAAAAAGGAAAGGTGGGAAATATGGAGAGCAAAGCCAACAAATAAATCTGTATATGGATGTGGTAAAATCAAAGGTTATTTGCAAGGATAGAAAAGTATGGAGAAACATACTGAATATTATAAACAAGATTATAATTTTACAGTAATTATAAACTAAATTTATGTATATGTTCATTTCTCTTATCTTATACCTTTAATTTCTTTTGTTTTCTATATCTTATTTCATTTTTGTATTTTGCATAAATTTCTTGCAAAATACAAAAGGGAATTGCATGATGCATATGTATTATTATTACTGCTATTATTTTTATTAATCAATATTCCTTTTGATGTCCTCTTCACCATTGGGTTTTCTTTGCAAATCTGCTGATTCCTGATGAACTGTATTAGAATTTGGCTCAGTGATGTTGAAATAATGAGTGCAATATTTAACTGGCAATTAATATGTGCAGAAACATAATCTTGACCTTTATTATTTATAATTAACTCACCAGCTGTCCTGGTTTAAATTCATATGAAGCCTTGTCAGATGCACCACAAGCTAGTACACAGTTGTCAAACAAAAAGCAAAAGGCCCCTTCAAGTGAGGTGTGACATATGCAAACAATTTCCAACAGATCCTAAGACTTATTGCATTCAGGTTGAACTGAGCAAATAAGTCCAGTTGAAAAACCCACACATATTCCCACACAGAGAATTCTATGTTCATTGAAAGGTATGCTGTAGATCACCAATTTCAGGCAAAGAAACATTGCAACCATGATAATCTATTTCTCCAGCTAAATAGGCTACTTCACCTACTTTTGGTTTTGTCAGAGTTTTTCCTAACAGCAGCATGAAAAGCACAGTTGAAGCATCATGGGGAAGAGGAGGCAATGTTTCAGCAGTAACAACATCCCAAAAATCTGTTGGTAATCATAAATTGCTCGCTAATAACACCCACATTTTGCCAAAGCAGGAAGGCACAAGTTAACAGATGCCAAAGGTGGAATGCCAAGATGACATCATGGAAGACAGTCTATATGTTCTCCCACATAAAACGGCAGGAACATATTTCTGTTAAGAGCCCAAAATACATCTCATAATATAGTTTATGCTATAACACAATCCACCCTCAGTTCACAAGCTTAGGCAGAATGAATCCAAAATGACATTAAAGCTCCTAAGGGAATAACCAGGGACAAAGAGAAAAGAATCACAACTTCAGTCCCAACAGTATTGTAATTCCAGTGATCATGATGTCTGGGCAAAGAACCACTCAGCTGCAGCAGGATCTAGAATTCAAGACACTGAATCTGCGTGCAATGCATTTGTAACTTGCTGCTATGTTGGTAAAAAAAGTATGTAGAAGGAAGTTAGTTGTAGAAGACTGAACATAAAATAGCTTTCTTGGGGGGAATCAGTGCAGCCTGACTGATAATTCAGTAGGAAAAAGAGAGGCGATGGAATATCACTACAACCTCATAAATTCAATATTCTGGCCTAATAGGGAATTGTACCTACTTATGAAATTTTGACTCAGTTGTATTCTCTATCAGCCAGGCCAAAGGTTAACATGTCAGTTCAATGGCAGAAAGGGCAGCATGTATAGCACAACCAATTTAAAACCACATATTTCACAGTAGGCTTCTTTGACTTTTGTAGTGCAAACAGCATGTGGGCCACATGATCTATTACTTTAAGTTACACCCCTATAGTAATTAAGTAATACACCAATATGTTGGAAATATAAGAGCATCCAATTTGTATCTGGATTTTTTTTATTCATGGAATAAATTTAAGCAATTCTTTTATTGCAGCATTTTAAAACATCATTTTAAAGAACCAGTGGGCATCGAATGTTGGAACCTAGTCTTACCCAGCCTAAAATCTATGTTCATCCATTTATGATAAGAGACAACTCCCAACTCCCCTCTTCAGCTCCAAAACTGGTATAGAGGAAGAGGACAATCAGCCCAGTCTTCAGCTAGAGAGAGAAAAAAATTGCTTTCTTAGTTACAGAGGGCTTAGTATCACTCAGAGAGCCCCAGAATTCAAGTCTGTCTTCCAGAGCAGCCTCCACCCTCTCTGCAGCTCCAAGGTAAAAAGTAAAACTCATCTTGCCATGCCAGGCAGGTCATAACTGGATCAGTGTTATGGGATTATGGACCCTCTAAGTCCCCTTGATTTGCAGTTAACTCTCAGATGAGTCCCTGACAGCAAATAATATTTCCGAGGGCAATCGGGCTATTTATTCCAAGGGAGCAGATGCTCTTTAGGTTATCATAACATTCAAGTAGAATGGAAACATGACCCAGACTTTACCTCTGCTAGACGGGAATGCTTGTGAACGTTCTCTCCTTTCTGCACACTGGGAGCAAGCTGCTGCAGGACTCCCCGGCTGCTTGTCAGTGCACGTGTCAAACGAGCAAACTTTCCCCAGCCTAAAGAAATTACACAACAGTTACTACCACTCCAGTTGTACAGAATTTTATCAAAAAAAGCCTTTCACCTAAAACAATGCAGTGAAGTTACACCAAACTAAGAAAAGTACTAACGACAAAGATCCCAGGGCAGAGTTCAGTGGCCAAATTGCTTATTACTCATTCCCTTAGTTCAGAAGTAGGCAACTTTGGATGGGCAGTATGCGTATTCTGAATGTGGAGATCTGGTCATAGGCATTCTCATGCAGCTTCCCTTTGCATAATTAAAGTGAATCATTCATTATTTGAATGCAGAAAAATTATAAACTTTTATTTCAATTTGTCCTCCTACTGTGAAGGTCATTCAGTTCAGCAGTTACCCTGTGACCTGTTTGCCATGAGGAACAACTTGCATGGTTCTAACTTACCTATATCTGAACATATAGGTAAATGTACAGTGTTTTCAAACTAGTTGCATATCTGCAGACACAAAGTAAATCAGTAAGCAACATTCATTATAATGAAATGTTGCTGACTGAGACAGTACAGCATGAGTGTTGTAATAACTGTAATAACTTGTAATAATTGCTGACGCTGACCATGGTACTGAATTGCACTTGGCATTTTTTAAGGCATTGGAATGAATATAGTATCTTCTTGACTTTCTCTTAGTGTTTAAAAATTGTTCCTGCACTGCTCTTTTTGCCCCCTTATATTAGTTCTATTTTCTTGTGATTTTTTGTTTTAGGCATTGTTAGTTGTTATGTACTGTTTTCATGGTTGTGTGTAAATTGTTTTCATATATTGTATATTTTATTTTGCAAGCCAGCTAATTTGAATGCTTTTTTAAAAGGGGGGATTATAAGATTTTACAATAATAAAGAAGTGGAGAGAAACAAGTGTAATTTAATATGAATCTTTCACATATGCACAATCTGCTCACACACATACACACACAGTGGGGGAGGTTCCTCTTTAATTTTTAAGAGGGACTTTTTGCTTCGTTTGCCAGGGCTGCAAATACAAGACAATATTCAAAGTAAGAGCTCCCCTCCTGCAGAATAGTATCTTTGTGCTTTATCCTACCAAGTCCTTGAAAAGCATTGCTTGGTTTAGATAAGAGATACTGCAGAACAACAAAAATAGGCATTGTTATCATGGATGTAAAACAGCAAGAATGAATAGAGGAAACTTGAAGGGGAGGCCAGAATCAGAAACATTTATAATGGAACCAGGACTGAGGATGTCCCATTGCACCCTAGAATGCAGAATTCTTGTTTACATCCTCTTAATCTTATTATAACACATCAGTACAGAAGCCTAAGGAGAGACAGAGCTGTCTCTCTTCCATAGAAAATAGACAGGGACTGATTATCCTCATTAGCCAGGCAAGATAGATGAAAATCCAGTGGACTTCTGCTGTGACATGAAAAGCTGATGTCAAGAAAACACTTCATTTGGAAATTTATTTTAAGGAATAGACATGATATTAAAAAGCAAACAAAAATTTCAAGAAGAGGGATGACATAAAAATTTGATTTGGTCCATGAGCTCATGTTACAGAACATACCCAAGTTCCAAAAAACTATGGAACTTAATTTTTCTATGCATTTAAGGGCACTATGCATCCTGATCCTGCCCATATTTATTCTGAAGTAAATCCTGCCAAGGTTTTATAGGACTTGTCCCTAAGTAAGTGTACAAGACAATGTCTTTTTCTTAATTAAAAAAGCCTTTCCCATCCATGTCACCCAGAAATTGCTTTTGAATCTGAAGAGTTTCAAGATCAGATTATAACATGCTTTAGGGTGGGGCTCAGGGTAGTTTATGGTTAAAAGATTGCCTGAAATTCCATGGAACATACATGAACCCATTGTGTGAACCTCAGCTACACTTGGATTACAGAATGTAGCATATCATTTTGTGAAATTAAATATGTATTCCCCAGACTTTCCATCTGTAACACTGGGAAACAGCTGTTTTCAATAATTCCTTGATAAAATCTAATCAATAGGGAAGGATCTTGACTCACTGGAAGGGCATGTTCCTAATTCTCCATCCTCCTCATCCTTCCTAGAAATTCTGGACACTATTGAGCTTCATAAACCATTTATTTATTTATTAAACGTATTTCTATCCTGCCGCAATCCAAAAGACTCTTGGTGGCTTACAAAGAATAAATAATACAATTAAAATAGTCATGGTATAATCTAAAAACCCAACAGTCATAAATAGGACAACAAACAATCTTAAACAAAAATACCTTAAGTTTCCTAAGCCAACATCCTATTCCACATTGTCACTAGGCCTGCATGTTTACCCTAAGTGTCTAATTAGAACTGATCATATTTAGTGGTTGATCTAGGTAGGCTTAACACTGAAGAGCCATTCATGAACTATCATTCAGTGTGGATTGAACATAGTCTTTTGGACAAAGATAATTAGTTCAGAACCCAGCTCTGACCATAGAAATTCACCTAATACCCAGTCAACTATTCATACATATAACTTAGTACTTGCTTTTCTGGCTAGGGTTCAGCTACTTGGCCTTCAGCTCAATATTACTGCCAGCACTCAGCAATCTGTGTTCACCACTCATCCTTAAGGAAGTGGCACTATAGATGGCAATAAACAAGTCAAATCAAACAAACCTGAAATGCTCTTCCTAGAACATCCTCAAAGCATTTATAGAGGAGATTGTAGCATATTTTCATCTAGGACGGAGCAGACAGATGAATCTGAAGTGGAATGTTGAACCAGGTATTGGTAACATGATCCCTGTGGTTATCTTGGCACATATGATAATCTCCAAATTATTACTTTTTAAATTAATGTATGCCAAAATTTCACAAGATCTTGCTAAATCTTTTCAGATTTCAGTGTTCTTGCTGGAAATCTCCCTATATTTTCTTATTTATCATGGTCTTTTTGGATAAAATATAAAAGCCCGTTTGTTCAATTTATGGTTTGATTATATACATTATGTAGCTTTTTAAAGCCAACCAATTCATGTTGCATGTAACAACCACAAAAACTATAAATAGAAACATATGATTTATGACTTTTATTGTGTCTGCAATGGATAATGCCTCAGAACAAACAAGCAGATTTTTAGGGGGAAGGCAGTCTAATTTCATCCCTCCTTTCCTCATGTCATCTGTAAAGGCTCCTGTCCTTTTCTGTCAAATATCACTTCTCACTTTTGTGATCTACATACACAATAAAAAATAGTTGCTACTTTGACAGACCTAAGACATACCCAACTATGAATATTTTATGGAAAATTATGGATTCATGCTAACTGCTAATAATAATAATTAATAATAATAATAATAACAATAATGGATTCATGCTAACTGCTAAGTCTCACAGAAAGTCCTAACCCTACTCATCTCCTGATTGCCTAAGTCTTACTGCTAGGGCACACCAATCTATAGCCCTAGAGCCACAAAAATGTGACAGAAAAAAACAAGATTCAATATATGGAGCTGGCCCAATTTTAGTAGAATGTAATTTGACCTCACCTGGATCACTCTTTGCTGGGAGGTGTGAGGAGGGCATAGGTTTTAAAAACTGTTTTTGGGGAAATGATCAGAACAGAAGTGTTGCATTTGCAAAATGAAAGGAGATGAGGGAGATGACAGATCTTAATTCAAGAAAAAAAGCCAACCAGTAATTTGGAGTCAAGTTTAGAATTGTTTTATTTTGTGTGACCATGGGATGATAATACACATTCTTCTTTTTTGCTTTCTCTTGATATTTCATTGTGTTATGATTTTAAGGACACTTCTTATCTGTGCCTACACAGCACATTTTACAAACTAGCCCTCTTCTGTGTCTCAACACAAAGGGATTTAACCCTTTTTGTGGTTGTTGTTGTTCAGTCTTTAAGTCGTGTCCGACTCTTCGTGACCCCATGAACCATATTGCACCAAGCCTTCCTGTCCTTCACTGCCTCCCTGAATTTGCTCAGTTTCATGCTCATTTGTGGTGGTTTATGATTAAAAAAAAGTGCTTGAATGTTTATTTGTGAGAGCTGCCTTCTCACCACACATTTAATGTGGCCCTTAAGATGTACAGTTCTTAGCTGTTGTTGCATCAAAGGAGTGAAGGTATCTTTTTGTCCTTTTAATGGGAACCCAAACAGAACAGAGGAGAAGTATTACCTGTTTTAATTAAAATGAATTAGGTGGCAGTGCTTAAGACTTCTAACCCATGATCAGACATCCAGCCCTAAGTAAGTGATGGAAGAGATCCAAGAGGTTGGGGGAAGGGCACCATTATTCATAACATATTTACTATACTGAATTTAATTTTAATTCTATTTAAATTGGTTTAATTGAGTTAAAATATTTAAATAAACCAAATGTAATCATAGAATATACGTGTTCTGATTCTGCCTACTTTTGGCTATGCAGTCTCTGGCTTTCCATTCATAAGCTTGCTGCCCATTGCCCAAAGAAAGAAGGCAATCCCCAGCCCTTCTCAGATGAACCCTACATCCAATTCTGCTTCTGCATTGCATAAGATACATAACAGATGATTCAAATAACCCGATAAGTTATGTTTAAATCCTAAGTAAATCTAGAGCAGAAGTGCATCCATTCTGCAAAAGCATTTTTGGGGAAAAGGGGGCATCTTCATTTTGATTCATTTGTTCAATGACTTATATTCCACATACAAAAACACTTTTCTAGACTACTCATTCATGGTAGTACATTTAATAATCAGGAAAATAAAATACAGATTAAAAATCGGTCACAAAAACTGAACCCACAATGGTCAACAACAAAATTTGTTCAAATTTTTCAAATATGAAAAATTTGAACAAAAATAAAACTTGTATTTAAAATAGCTGATAATTTCTTTTAAAAGTGATAATGAATTAAACACTGTGAGAATTATATTACTGGGATGTCATCACCAGAAATATTCAATCTCTGTTTAGTACTTGCTGCATTTGAGATTACATTGCATATGTAGCAAGTGATCTAGTGACCTCAGCTGTATTTACTTATTTCATAATTGATCCTCCTTACAAAAAACTGCAGGCCAGAATTCATACTATGAGGCTTCAATGACTGGATTACCTAACAGAAACAGAAAAACAGTCACAAGGGAAATGCATTAGATTGTGATATGATCTGTGGTAGGGAACGACCAGGAAATGTAATGCTATGATTTCAATAAACAATCTCAAGGTCCAGGAGGTACAGATGTAACCTGAAAAGGAACATGCAATGTTGCCTTGGCTGAAAGCTTTTGAAACTGCAAATCAAGGCAGTTCCTTGATCTGCAAGAAATATCATTAGAAAGTTTTCATGGCTTTGCCATAAATTCCATCAACTGTTAACTTTTTTGGGGGGGGGAAAACTGTTGGAGGCCTGGTTGGTATGGAGTTGGCAGAAAAGTTGGCAATCTTGTTATCACATTGGGCACATGCCAGAAGCAGTGGTGTTCCATGTATTTCAAAAAATCTTTAACCTTCATAGTCAATTTGCACTAGCTTCACTCAAATTCTTAACAGATCTTCTAAAACCAAAACATCCATGAAAGAAAATTATTCCATTTTTGAAATGCAAAACAAATTATCTTTAATATGCAATCGAGAAAGCAAATAGCAAACCTTTGCATGAGTCATCCTCGATAGGCTGTTTGAAAGCTGTGATGTCACTGAAAGTGCAAAGAAACAAAACAACTTTGTCCTGTTCATTTCGAATTGGAGCAATTTTCACAAAGAACCAAACAGGAGTCCCTGGAGGGAAAACACCACAGAAAAACTGATCAATGACATAAAAACTGTACAGCATCCAACTGTAACATTGTTTCTGCAAACAGAAGAAACAACAGTAAGTGTCAGGCCCAGCCCAAGAACAACAGGGAAACAGTCCAGTTGAGTTCAGTTCCTTTATTGCTTACACCTTATAGACAGAACCTTGCCAGACTAGATCTGTACTACTGCAACCAGTGGATATAACCTGGGAGATTCTAGGGAGTGGCTACTCTAAGCCTCTTACACTCCCCACGCTCCTTCTCCGGACTGTGTTGCCTCTTGTCTCTCTGCCCTTCCTGGAATGAGCCCCCTCCTTCCTTCTCTTCTGCAATCCACCACATCACCCCCGCTCTTCGTAGATACCTTTCATCACAGTAAGGTACTTATATAACAGCAAAAACAATTTAGTATACTACATCAAGAGATGTAGAATGTCTTAATTTATTCACCAACTTTCTGGAAATCTACAGTATCTTTAATTTCTGAGAAAATGGTGTGCTGGTATTTTCTTCTGAACATGACTAGAACATAGTGGGCCCCTGTTAACAAATACAATGTAATGTTTACAGAATCTATATTGGGGTATCCCGCCACATGCCACATTATGCATGGTGCTTTCACTACAGAGGAAATAGGCCAAGCTGGAAAGGTTATATATGTTTTTACCATGAGCACATGTTCAGACTATCCATAAAACTGCAGCCGAAGTCATGTTCAAAAGTTGGCAATATAATAAATGAAATTCTGCCATTTCAAGTTGTTTGGTTTAGGTTAATTTGCATAAATTCACCCTCTAAAGGGATCTAGTGACTCCACAGCTTTAATTTCCTCTCCATTTTGGTTGCTATTTCAAGTTGTTAAAAAAAAGATCATAACTTCATGTGCCGTTGTGTATGAGTTCAGTTTTTTAAACAGTAAGAGTATGAGGTTCTTCAGAGAGATAGACTGTATAGATGCAAAGTGCAAAAAAAGTTCTTTGGAAAAAAAAGAATAATGAATGTTTTGCACATCTTCTCTCCATTGGATAAAATCAAGGAGAAAGTGGGGAAATTGATCCAAGGCAAGTTCTAAAATCACTCCCACCATAAGAAATTTATTATCATGGAAGAAACACACATGCCCCAGACATACAGGAAAGCCATACAGCACAGACCCTGGGAAAAAAGACTAATGCAGACAAGACACTGTCTATGTGAATGGTGCTAGTTTAGTCTAAAAGCCAAGGGTAGAATGTCTAGACATTTCTTCCCATGGAAAAAGTATCTCTGTATGGAGAAAAGTATCTCTGCGTATAATAAATTAATATCTCAAACAAAACAACCGAAGGCTTGACTTCTTGAAGCACCCATACTTCCTCCTCCATTTGTTCCCCACAACAGCCCTTTGAGGTAGGTTGGGCTGAGGGACAGTGACTGATCCAAAGTGACCCAGTGAGCTGAGGGTGGACTAGAAGTTGCCATCTCCCCACTCCCAGTCCAACCCTTTAGCCGTTATAACACATTGGCTCTCGGTTGTTTTTTTGATGGCATGATCCAGGAAAAGGTACATTATTTAATTTCATTGTTTTTACAGATTAGCTTTAATTCCTGTAAACAAGAAGTTATTTAGAAATAAATTTCTAGGGCGACATGAATTTGAAGGAAGGGTATATGGGATAGGCATGCTTGGTGTAGTCAGGCAGTCATGTTCGAGAAAACCACTGAAATGAGAAAAATTGTGACTAAGATTAAATCCTGGTCATTTCAGTGGATCTACTTTATGTACGATCAATCTGGATCCTATTTTCATTAAAACAGTTGCAAGTTTTCTTCACTGAGAACATGTTGCTTTTTAAAAAAAACTTCCAACATAAAAACAGCCAAGACCCTTTACTGTTGGAGTTGCAAGAAAAGTATTATCACATACAAAGCCGAAGGTAACTATCCCATCAAATCAGGTCAATAATTTATATATAGTGGCTGGCATCCTGAACAGAGTTGTCCCACACTACAACGTTTTGTTGAAGATACTACATATCAAGAGGTTTCCAGTGGGACTGGAACGCCTTTTAGCAGGATCCCATTCTTGCCTTTCTGATGATCAACAGCGGAATCAGGGTACAAAGAAACGAACAGGCCCCAGTGGCCTTCCCGCATTCCGTGATTCTAAAAGTAGCCTATTAATGCAGGAGAAAGGTTTAAGATTTGTAGGGTTTCAAAAACTTGCAAAACTTGTTCGATCAGAGACTAGAATAGGAGATAAGAAAAGGGAATGTTCATCCGGGGAAATTATATTTCTGTCATACCACTTTCAGCTCTCTTAAAACTGATCTTCAGTCACATCCACAAACTGCAGAAATTCAGATCATAAAATTCACCACTATTGAAATACAGTTTGTTTTGAGCCAAACAGATACACAGCCAGGGCTATATATATTCTGTGGAAAACAAATGGAATCTCTTCACTGAGACTACCCCAATTCTCCGCCCCCAAAATCAGATTCTGAATAACATGTATAAATTAAGCCACTGATTCTATACAGCTGGCATTGTTTTGCTAGTTACAGAGCTGAGACATGCCAGCAAAACATTCGACTGAAGATGAACTTAGGGAGCTGAAAAAATTCCTCTAGAAAGAGGCCAACAATTATCTTTTTGCTGGCCTGGATTAAGATCCACACCCAATATCAGTTTCTGGCTTGTTGATGCACAAATCTGTCTCATCTCCAAGCCTCTTTGCCTTAAATCATATTTATCAAGCTCTATGATAGATCAGGAACTTTGATGATGTTTGGGAACCAGGGCATGCTATTTCTGACTTTTTGAGAAAGAACTTTACTCTAAGCTATTTTGGAGCTGAAAGCTGAAAGCTCCAAAATGCTAGCTCTAAGCCAGGAATGCTGGGTTTAGAAGTCATGCTCCAGTACCCAAACCTACTGCATGCTGAGTATAATGGAGATTATCCACTAGCGGGGATGGTTAAAAAAAAAATCTGCCATAGAATTCTATGGGGACAGTTTGAAAAATCTGCCCAAAGAGAGTCCTGAATGAAGTGCGCTACCGTCCATCTTGCTCTGGTCAAAAATCCACCAAAAAAAAAAAAAAGAAGTAAGAAATGCATCTGAAAAAGAATAGGTAAGTTGTGTACAAAAAGAAAATGCTACAGCTTACACTGTTACAAATTTATGCAACAAAGCACTTCACAGGAATTATGCTAAAAAAGATTACGATGAATTTACATTTAAAAAGTATATAACTAGTAGAAGTCACAGAGGAGGAGAGGAGAGAGAAAAGTTCTGTACAAAACTTTTGTATATTAAGGAAGTTTATAAATAAACTTGGTAAGAATATTCTTAACAGATCTTTCTAAAAAGAAAATATCCATCAGCCTCTCTGCCCTTTTCCCTATCCCCAGTAGACTGAAATATATAGTATTAAAATGGACAACAAAACAAAGTGCATTTTTACCAATCTACGCTTCTCAGCCCTGGAGGGCTGCAGCCTTAGTTACCGATACACCATCAGCTAGACTGTCCAGGCTGCTAGAAATGAAATTGTTTAAACGTCTAGAATATTTCTCTTAATTATATAGACACAGTAAAGCACAACACTGAATGCTGGTTACGTAACAGGTAGAGCTGCCCTTTGAAACTCTCATTATCAGTAGGGCACTATTCAATTTTAATGTTGTTACTGCATCCTGTGTAGGAGCCCATTTATTCTGCCAAGGCCAGATTAGCAAGAAAAGCAGATATTTGGACTTGGGATGAGTTAGGTAGATCACAGTATTGCCATCTCTCTATCGCTCCTACATCTGAGTGTGTTTAAGGCACAGGAATGTCAATTTGGGAATAACTGCTCCAGAATAATAATAAAAAAAAAAAGCAGAATATGCCGGGAAAGGGTAAAACTGTGATATGGGCTTCCTGGGATTAGTGTTTGACATCATGCCTTCAGTCCCAGGAATGTCATTTCAGACATCTTAAAAGATGTCATGTTGAATGCATTTTGTGAGCTAGCTGGCACAAGGGATAAGGAGCTCACTGTAGGACATATGCAGAATCACAGACTCATAAAACCCAGGGCTGAAGTCTTCATTCCACCCCAGAAAAATGGCTGTCTGGTCCTCGTCTGAAAAGATGCAGGGATGGAGCAGCCATGACTCCAGGCAGCAGGCTGTCACATTGCTTACTAGCATTCCTGGTGTATTCCTGAGAAGCTTTTTCTTCCTTGGAAGATTTGCTATTGGCTTATGCTTTCAGGGTGTCTCTGGGTATTGTCTCCCTCCTATTCCAGATAGTCCACCAGAGGACCTTAGCAAGACATCTTCCAAATACATTCTTCCCAGTCATAGTACTCTCTCCTCTGCCAGTTTCTTCTCTGGGGTGATTATCCAATGAAGTAGAGTAGATTGAGAAAAAATGACTAGTCTAAAACTGAATTTCCACAGTTAGGTAAAGGTAGTCCTCAACTTACGCCCACAATTGGAACCAGAATTTCCATCGCTAAGTGATGCGGTCATAAAGCAAGATGTCACACTACCGCATTGCTTAGCAACAGCAATCCCGGCAATCCCCCTTGCTGTCATTAAGTGAATTTCATTGGTCATTAGCCAAGCACCCAGCAAATCCAAGCCATTCTGGGCATGGTCCCTCACAGCCCCGAGCCTCAGTAAGGTAAGGGACTGCCTTCAACTCCCTCCACCACCTATCTCCCCCCCCCCATCTCTGCCTTTTGGCTGCCCTGCACCCTGCCTTATCAGGCTGCAAGCATGGCTCTGGGGCTGTTTGCCACACTGCGACTCGGGGCTTCTTGACACACTGCAGTTCTGGGGCTGCAAGAAGCCCCTGAGCCACAGTGCAGCACCTTGGAAGCCCCTGAACCACAGCCACCCCTGGAAGCCTCAGCCACCCCAGCCCACCCCAGCAAGTGCCAGCAAGCATTTGTTCACCCAGCTGCCTTCTCTCCCAGTTCCCTGCAACAAACCTTTCACCTTTTGTGGCC